CTTAAAGCTAGTAGAAACAAGTGCATTGCTAGTAGAAACAAGTGCCTTACTAGTAGTAACAAGAAGCTAGTCGAAACAAGTGCATCGCTAGTAGAAACAAGGGCCTTACTAGTAGTAACAAGAAGCTAGTAGAAACAAGTGCATCGCTAGTAGAAACAAGTGCCTTACTAGGGTTCTAGGTTGGAGGCCATCGTAGGAAGAAACTGGATGGGGGTTAACCAGGATTCCCATGCGAGGCGAGAAGGTTGTTTTCATGTGCTTCCTTGACGGACTTGGTTGTGATAAACACATCTTTGCGTGCCATGTTCAACTACGATCGGTAGGCTGAGATTTTGTTCTTTGGACTCGTTTGAAAACATTCCCTAGTAGCTTCTTGCTCCGTTCGTAGTAAGGCCAGGAGCCCCTAGTAGCGTCCTTGCTCCTAGTAGTGATGCCCTTTGCTCCTAGTAGCTTCTTGTTCCTAGGAACGCGGCTTCTTATGTATTGGCTGTCCGTTCGATTGTTCATGCAAGGATCCTGAAAAAACCACACGAGTTCTTGCAGAAGCTTCGCCAGTTTGATCCTGGAACCTTGACGGAGGCTGGGTACATCCCAGACCTTTCTTGGAAGTAGCAGCAGTGGCATCCACAACTCTTGTGCATCACTCTTCTTCATAGGATGCTCTTGCTTGACACTTTTTGGGGACAAGTTTGCTCATTCTTGTTTGATTCACTGATTAAAGAACAGTTTGGTTCTTTGTGAAAGACGTTAAAGAAAGGGACCGAAAAGAACGAAAGACAATTCGAAGACCGAGAATCTTTGTCCTTGTTGGGGTTTTCGGTTAGTGCACTATGAAAAGAACAGATAGGGTGGAGAGGCCATCGCTCTTAGGAATGCGCGTTAAAAAAGAAGCCTCGACAGCCCGGCTATAATAGTATATGGCGTCCTTTGTTACTGGTAGCAATGCCCTTTGTTCCTAGTAGCTTCTTGTTATATACTAATGCCAAGAACGCTGCTAGTAGTAATGCCCTTTGTTACTAGTAGCGATGCCCTTGCTCCTAGTAGCGTCCTTTTGTCCCTAGTAGTAAGGCCAGGAGTGCCCCTAGAAGCGTCCTTGCTCCGAGTAGCGATGCCAGGAGCCCCTAGTAGCTTCTTGTTCCTAGTAGTAAACTTTACAATGGACAATGTTGTTCCTTTCAACTATGTGTTCTTGTTTTCCCTTAGGCGCGAGTTCAACAGTCTGTCAAAGAATTGTTGCACCAAGTCGGAGTGCTCTAAATCGGAGGCAAAGATGCGGAAACTGAAGTACTTCACCAGCAAGGAGTTGCCTTTGGACGATCTGGATCTAAGTTATTCACATTCGCGTTGAGACTTGAGCAAATCAAGCCAGACATGAAAAGACACTTCATGGGCAGGACTTCTTCACGCAAGAGTACTTCAAGTGCGGTTCCAAGTCCGGTAGGTCCACGTGGTATGTGTCTTTACCCGCTTTTTTGTTTTGTTTTACCTAATGGCGATGGCCTCCAAACTAATAGCAAAGTTCTTTCAACTGCCGCTCTGCCAACTGCCCACGCAAAAGCGATGTCGAGATGTTCGGTCCACATGCTTTCAGTTGACCTTTCTGTTTTTGGTTTCGGACAAGAGATTCAGATTGCCTGTTTTCAAGGGATGTTCGGTTCTGTTTTTCTTTTTGTATCGATTCGGCTTGTGGCCTAGGTCCCACCACCCAATTGTCCAAGCTCTCTGCAATTGGGCTCGGAGCCTTTGATGTGAAAAACGAAGCAAACTTGGTGAATGAGAAGCATTTCTTTCATCAAGATTTCAGGCAGCCCGCTTTCTTCTGCCTTAAAAGTGTTTTGTTTCTTCATTTTCCTTAGAACGCTCCTCTCCGACACGTTCAGTTCCTTTAGGCCTTGAACTTTTTTGTGCTTTTTGCTCTAGACATGTTTTGTTTTCGTGACGCTACGTTCGGGGCAAAGGGCCTTACTACGAACGGAGCAAGGAGCATCGCTAGCCCGTCTTTCGACTCGTTCCTTCAAGACTCGTTCCTAACCCTTTCCGATTAACTTTGTTCTCTATAAACAAGTGCATCGCTCCTAGTAACAAGTGCCTTACTAGTAGTAACAAGAATTAAACCAATTACTAATTATATTAAGTTTATTAACTCTTCAGACCCTTCAGACTATTGTTACTAGTAGCGTGGCACCTGTTACTACTAGTAAGGCACTTGTTACTAGTAGCGATGCCAGGAGGTACTGCCTTTTTTGTTTGGTGTTTGTTTTCCTTGTGGGCCTTTAGACATGTCGTACTTTCCGTTGTTTGTGACCTTTTCGCTTCTAGCCCTAGACAATTTTAGTTTTACTTATTTATCTACTTCGCCTGTGTCGTTCATTGCTGTTTTTGAGGCCTTCAAGCATGTTTTATGTTTTTGGTGTCTTTTCAGTGCTTTCGTTTTGAGATCGTTGTTCCGGTTTTCTTTTCAGAAGTTCTTTCTTCGTATTTGTTGTAGTCTTGTGATCTTGGTATTTTCGTTCTTTAGAAAATTCCGAATTCTTCCCTCCCTCTATTCTGTTTGTTTCATTATTCCTTTCTGTACATTGCTTGCGTTTCTCTTTTCTAGAAACTGTCTTTGTTCTTTCCTTTCTCTTGTCCTTTTCTTTACCTTACTGTATTGTTTTGTCGTCAGACTGCGTTCGCTTTTTGCTTGCAAAAGTCATTTTTTCTTTGCTTTTTGTTAGGTTCTTGTTTATTTCCTGTTAGTTTTCACGTTCTTGTTTTTATGGTTTTCCTTTATCTTTGCGCCGTATTGGGTTCTTGTTATTTTTCCTTTTTTTTTGCAACTTGTTGTTTTTGTTCTTTCAACATTCCGTTCTTCTCTTTTTTGCAAGCATGAGCGCCTAGTTTCTCCCAAAAACTTCTGCGAAGGGTTCTCCGTGAAAACAGCTACCACATCTTCCACATCGTCGCCTTCATCACCGACATCATGTTTGAACCATGCAGATATCGCTGGAGGCCATCGCTAGTAGGTTGGAGGCCATGTTAGTGCACACAGATGTACATGGATAGAGATGTAGGCGTATCAGGTGTATCAAGAAGCTAAGGCAGGCGGGACCTTAATCGTTGGCAAAGCTGGTACTTGCAGAGTCACCTTCAAGAAATGAGAAAGGTTTTAAGACAATTTTTGGAACCAAGTGTGATTCATCCAAGAATACATCACGGACAAAACATCCCTTTTTCTGTTTTTCTTTAGAAGCTACTAGGGGCTCCTGGCCTTACTACTAGGAGCAAGGACGCTACTAGGGACAGCACTACGAGCATGACCAAGAACGGTGCTCGAGGCCTTGGCAATTGCAGCGCTGGACTTGAAGAGCGCAGACAAGCGCTGAAGGGACTGCGTCCTTGCTCCTAGTAGCGAGGCGAGGAGCCCCTAGTAGCGTTCAAAATCCAGAGAATGAAACAATGTGTTTTGATATGCTCGTTGAATCAGCGCACCAGGAGTGACGAGCCACGTGAGAACAATGGCAGCAGATAGGCACATACCGAATCCTTGAAGCTTTGAAAGCTTCTCGGAACAAGCCTCAGGGGCAGGGTCTGGAATCAGTCGAAAGCTGTTATTTGCAGCCTTCAAAACATTGATATGTTCGGGGTCTACACGGGTAAAGCGTGTGTTCTTTGGATTTTTTTTGGAGGGAAAAAGGAAAACGCATACTGTAGTTTTTCTGCGCATTGTTTCAGTGGGCATAGCATTCCAGACCTCTCCCCTCATAGTTTCTGCGAAGGCCATGAAAACTGCACAACTCAATCCCATTGAACGAACTCATGCGGCCACTAGAGTCACCACAGAGCCATCACAGTCCACAGAGCGATTTGGCTGTAGCCCTGCCAGAAGATGAGTGAGAGATGTATGTATCCTTGATGAAGTACACATGGAGTTGGACGCTACTAGAAGCAAAGGGCATCGCTACTAGGAGCAAGGACGCTACTAGGGGCTCCTGGCCTTACTACTAGGAGCAAGAATGCTACTAGTACACATGGCAGGCAGCTTTTGATGCCATGAAGTTGGCCATTGATACCCAGGCACACAGCACTAAAATATATAACCTGTCCCGGGTGACGATTGCTAGAATGGATTTACCAATCAACCTAATAGGAATGGCCTCCAACCTACTAGCATTTTCAACTACTCCATCCTATCGGAAAGCTCAGTGCAAGCTTCGGCCCCGCGCATGTCTTTTCCGACTCTTGTGGCGGTGGCCACTGCAACGCCGCCAATGTCCAAGACATTGGCGAATGAACGCAGGGCGAATTGCATAAAATCCGACATGCTGAACGAAGAAGCAAAACCGTGTTGAGAAACGTTGTGAATACTGAAAAAAGCAAGGTCTTAAGGTCTGAACACAAATTCCTCTATTTCCAGCTACCCCGACCCGACCAAAATTGTCCCAATATGAGGTGTTGTGACTGTTGTTATGTTTCGTGATTGCTCTCATGTTGCGCCACTGGCGGGATGCTGGTGGCATCCCTTGCTAGCAGGCTGGCTAGCAGGACACGTGTTGCTTGTGTTTGGAGGCCATCGCTCTTAGGTTGGAGGCCATCGCTTTGTTTCCCATTCATCGGCACATTGAGCACCAACGCAGCTGCACGGGTGGGTAGACCAAGTAAGGCGAAGAAAAAACAAAGAATTATCGTGGCATAGGCCCAGATACGAAGTAGCTCTAAAAAGCACAGGCAGACAAGTGGGTAGACACTTCAGTGGGTCAAAACTGCAGTTTGGTACCTTTCCAATTCCTGCCTCCAAAAGGTTCAACAAGAGTCTCAAACAGTTTTAAGTGCTTTAGAGGCTCCTGACATCGCTACTAGGAACAAGCTACTAGGGGCTCCTGGCCTTACTACTAGGAGCAATGTTCGCCACTAGGAGCAAAAGGCATCGCTACTAGGAGCAAGAGGACGCTACTAGGAGCAAAGGGCATCGCTACGAGGAGCAAGGACACTACTCAGGCCACTTTGCAGTTATGATTTTGGCGTGTTTGCCTTTCTGACCGCAGAGCGATGCCGCACATGCCTTCCGTGCCTTGCGGTCGGTATGCTGAAAATTGGATTGGCAAGCCTTCTACAAGAAATCTCTGGACACTATGTGGTTCATTTCTTCTCTGGCCAGGACATTTGGTTCAAGTCACGGCAGTTTTAAAGACCAACCTCTGGCGAAGACCTTCAGTTCGCACATGCCACACATGGTGTGAGGTAATGTATTAGTAGCAAGAAGCTACCAGTAACAAGGTAATGTAGGTAATTGTTCCGTTCGCAAGTCAAGTGTCCTTTGCGCCCAGCAGGGCCAGACCACTGCCAACTCCGACTCCGTCTCGCCCTTTGTGCCCCTCTCAGTGGCTGGCCGGTCGTTCCGGTGTGAGCTTCCCCGTCTTCCCCAACAAAGCGCAGCATCGGAGACTTCCGACACATACGTGGCACAGTTGCGAAGCGCCTCGCTTCGTGGGCGGTGCTTGGTTGGAAGCATCGATGGAGAAAAGTCTTTTGGTAGCAAAGACGCTACGTTCGGGGCTCCTGGCCTTACTACTAGGAGCAAGTGCCTCGCTACTAGTAACAAAGGGCATCGCTTCTAGTAGCAAGTGCCTTACTGGTAGTAACAAAGAGCTACCAGGAGCTACCTAAATTAGAATTAAATTACATTAGAATCCAATTAATTTAAAATAGAATTAAAATAAATTAGAATTAAGCTAAACTAAATTAAAATTAAATTAGAATTAAATTAAATTAGAATTAATTTAGAATTAACTATAATTAAAGAATGAAATTAAATTAGAATGCAAATTAGAATTACATTAAGTTAAATTAGAATTAAATCAAATTAGTGTGAATTTAAGTTGGAAATAACTTAAGTTATAGTTAATTAAATTAGAATTAAATTCGAATTAAATTAAACAAAATTAAATTTGAATTAAAATAAACTGAATTAGAATTAACTTATTAAATTAGAACTAAATTAGAATGACCTTAAATTAGAATTGACTTAAATTAGAATTCAATTAAATTAGAATTCAACTAAACTTTAAATTAAATTAGAATTAACTTGAATTAGAATTAATCTGAATTAGAATTAAATTAGACTTAAATTAGCATTACATTAAATTGGATTTAAATTAGAATTAAATTAAGCTAAATTAAATTAGAATTAAATTAAATTAGAATTAAATTAAATTAGAATTAGAATTCAATCAAATTAAAACTAAATCAAATTAGACTTAAAATAAATTAGAATTAGAATTAAATTAGAACTAAATTAAAGTAGAATTAAATTAGAAGCAAAGGGCATCGCTACTAGGAGCATGGACGCTACGAACGGGGCTCTTTTAGCCGGGTAGGAGGGCATACAGGACAGCTCAGGCTTCTTCGAGGAAGCTTCCCCCGAAAGGCGGTGGGGAAGCTCTCGCACTATTCCTTTGCTTCCTTGTTCCTAGTAGCTTCTTGTTGCTGGTAGTATGGCCAGGAGCCCCCAGTAGCGTCCTTGCTCCTAGTAGCGATGCCAGGAGCCCCTAGTAGCTTCTTGTTACTAGTAGCTTTGGAGAGGCTTAGGCCAAAAAGAGAGGTAGCGTAAGTTAAGTGTAAGGGGAGGTATGCTGGTAGTCGGAGTCGTCGGAATAGACCTTCACTGTCTGCCCCTCAGGAATAGATTTAGAAGGTCTTGGATCTTTAAAAACTTGGGAAGCGAGGTTTGAATTTCAACTCTGCGTTGGCGAGACGTTTGCCATCAATGGACAAGTGGCTTTTCATGAGCCTCTCTCCCAGATCTCTGCAGGCTACGGCTTTCAGCAGCGCCACTTGCTCAAAACATGCTATCAAAAAGATTCTTTTCGGTCAATTGAAACCCCATATTTGCAACCGTTTGCCATCTTACAGCCCGTACCTCCAAAGCTTGATACGCATGTTATGTTGTATTTTGTTCATTTCTTTCTAGAAGGCAATACGGCAGCACTGAAAGTTGCTTGTTCGCTGCGTGCAAGTATATTCATTGGCATGGTCTTTTCAGAGCAAACTTCAGTCGTCCAAAAGGAGGCAGCACTTGCACCCGTTTGCCCATTGAGTCTTCGAGATACTGCCTTATGCAGCACCACGCAGCACCCGCACAACGCAATGGATCGTTGTTTGCTGATTTTGTGTTAAGCGAAGAAGAGCCCCCCTGTTGGTGGCCACTTATATAGGGCACTTGGCTCATGGAATAGGTGCGTGCCATCGAGAGACTTTGCGGGGATATATGGTTCCAGGCTGCACACGCACGCACAGACACCCACATGCACCAGTTGTTTGAGGCCAGGTCATGCAAGTTGCTCTTAGCAGCGTCCTTGCCCCTAGTAGCGATGCCCCTTGTTCCTAGTAGTTCTTGATGTTGGCAGTAAGGGGGAAGTACAAGAATAGCGATGTAAGGCCCCTTCGAGGGGGCCTCATGAGAGGGACCCTTCCCTTCTTTTTTCCTATCAGCCATGCTGTTTTGTTCCCGTTGTGGTTTAGTGGGCTGGTTTGCTGGCGTTTCTGTTGGCCTCGCGGTCCCGCCTGTCTGAATAGCAATGGCCTCCAATCTAATAGCACATGTACTGTACTCACCACGGAGCTTGATGCAACCACGTGAGTCATTTGCGGATGAGGCTACAAGTCTGAAGCGCTCCATGCGCATCTTTTGTGCAGCTGCCATCACCCACCTCCAGCAGAGCAGGCTGCTTGCGATTTGGGGCAGCATGTGTGGATCCAGGAAAAGCTTGCAGATGACCTTGCGGCTCAGCTGGTGTTAGGACCGTTAGGATACCAGTGCATCAATGGAAACTGCGTTAAGCTTTGCAAAGTTTGAGGCCATGGTCGTTGGCTTCCAAGGCAGGTGCGATGGCCAACAGCAATTTCGCAGTTCAAAAGACCGGGTTGGACATAGCTTCTTGTTACTAGTAGCTACTAGTAACAAGTGCCACGCTACTAGGAACAAGTGCCTTACTAGTAGTAACAATAAGAATTATAATTACTAGCTTCTTGTTACTACCAGTAAGGCACTTGTTACTAGAAGCGATGCCAAGAGGTACTAGTAGCGTCCTTGCTGCCTGTAGCGATGCCCTTTGTTACCAGTAGCTTCTTGTTCCTAGTAGCGATGGGCTCCAGGCAGTAGCTTCAGGTTTAGCATGTGTGATGTAGTGTTTAAGATTCTGCGACTGCAGTTCAAGCATTCCTTCTCCTGCGCTTACTCCAACAGGAAGTCGGAAGGGCCCTGGCTCGAGCGTAGGCGAACGGCAGACCACTGAGCCCTTCGAAAACATGAGAGCCCTGCACTTGCTTTTGGGGTTCTTGGGGACCCTGTTTTTGAGTAGTAACAAGTGCATCGCTAGTAGTAACAGGTGCCTTACTACTAGTAAGGCATTTGTTACTAGTAGCGATGCACTTGTTACTACTAGTAGGGCACTTGTTACTAGTAGCAAATTGGAGCCTAAGCTTGTCCGGTTTTCTCTTCGAAGGCGACGAGCTTTTACTACGTTGGACGCAACAAGGGCAGGCCCGAGGCGCATTTCCCATGGCTCACACCCAACTCCGAGCTGCAGAGACCGGGCGCACCTGTGCACCACGGGAAGCGAAGCAAAAGCACCTCATCCAAGCGAAGCGGCATTCCGAGCATCTTTCAGGACGAAAGGGCGCGACAATCGCTTCTTCGCGCAAGGTGAGAGCGAAAAGAAGTTCTTGCACTTGTTTGCGAAGCCTACAGATCTCAAATTTTTAACACTGCTTTTTGATGAAGCAAGCCCGCCCCCAACTTGGGCAGGGCATGGACATGTAGGATTTCGCCAGTCCGTTTCCTCCAGAGACCATCTCATATAACAACGCATGGTATCTTCATGTCGTTTGGCAGCGAAGCCGATACAACGCTGCTCCACCAAGACCCGCGGAATCTGTTTCAATGGGCTTCCTTGCAATTTTCTTCGGCGTGGGTGTTCAGAGGTCTACATCCAAGTCTTTAGCAGGGAACGAAAGGGAAAAGGGACATGCCTAAAGGCTTTGAAAAAGAAACGGACAAACAGGCCTAGCGAAAAACGATCATAGGCCCAACAGCTGGAAAGAAATTGCTTATTGAGCAATGGCAACATTTAGCAGGCAATAGACGCGCAAAAATTGCAAGTGTGTTGACAACTTGGTGTGTGTGTGTGTTTTGTTCGACACCGCTGTTTTTAAAGCGTGAGCCTTGTCAATGTGCCGCCAATACGTCAGAGTAGCACACGTGCCCACAATATGTACAAACATGACAACACCGCAACGTGTTTTTGCAGAGAACCTCGTCCAGAACCGGCTTTGGAACCAACCCCTAGCAGCCCTGGCAAGTTAGTGCGACAACCTATGCCCGTATGACAATATGTCCTCACAATGTGAATCATGTCGTGCCTACACCTACGCCTTTGCGTGCCTGCATTCTGACTTCACAACAAACCAACATGACACCATGTCAGCCTTTGGCGTGGCAACACCTTAGCGTGTCAGAAATATAACATGTCAGCTGCAGCTGGTTAGCAAAAACCGCATGGTAGCCCGACCGCATATCAGCACGTCAGCGTGACAAGAGCCCAGCATCATGACTTGTCAGCACTTTGCAGGCGCTAGATTTTATGATCCTTACTGTAGGTCCCCCAATCTCAACAGACCTGGGCATTTTTAAATGTCATTCCAGACCCAATGCAGTTTCCAAAATGCAGTTCACATGTGGACTGCGGGAAAACTAACATAGACCCCCAATTTGATGTTGAATGGCCGTATCATACCAAATCACTAGCTGTGAAACCCTGAGTACAGCAATGAGCGCAACATAAGTTTTCATCAGCTATACACATAAACTATTCTGAAACAGTTTGACATTATATACTTATTCCAGATGTAGGCAAGCATCATTCAGACCCCCATAGATGTATTTTTAATGTTCTTGATTTAAAAACAAAACACCCTCAAAATGTTCCTAGGAGCAAGGACGCTACTAGGGGCTCCTGGCCTTACTACTAGGAGCAAAGACGCTACTAGTGATTCAAGATATAGAGATGGCTGACGGTTTCACACCCTGAGCCCGTCGATCGCAGGGTGACAAAAACCAAACACTCCAGTCAACCATTGAGATCAATGGACCTCGCTAGTACGTTTACAAGTTCATGTTCGGAGTCAAGCAATTCCACCCAAAGGCTCTGCTACATGTTGGTTTGGTCCCAAACCCTGCTAGTAACCAGAAGCTACTAGGAACAAAGGGCATCGCTACTAGGAGCAAGGGCACTACTAGGTAACAAGAAGTGAGTTGGCCCTGTTGATTTAATGGACAGTGTGGCTCCGCGTGCACAAAGGGGTACCTGAATGATGATTTCAGCTATAGAGAGACTCGGGTAACAAAAGAGTAGCGAGGCAAAGTTATCTTAAGTGTAGACACGCTTGCAATCAGCACTGGTGAGATGACGGATCGAAAGCACTACAAAAGACGCACTCTCTTGTTTTTCTCGAGAAATCAGCACAGAAGAGACCGAATTGGTTTGTGGTTACACCTCCAAGACCGGAGGCCGGCAGAGGGGTTTTCTTTATTTTTTGATAATTTTGCAACATGTTTTACCTTTTATGTGTTTTCAGTTGTTGTTGTTGTTGTTGTTGCATGTTGCATGTTTGTTGGCGCTGTAGAGGAGATGACGAGCATTTTGCGGTGGAACTGAAGGCTCCAACATGTTGCAGCACCAAGGAGATGGAGCAGCAAGAGGCGGTCATAAGCCTGCTGACTCCCTTGGAGGCGAGGTTTCTTGCGGTTTCTTGCGTGGTAGGTTTCTTGTGAAAGAAAAGGAGATATGAAGGAAAAGAAAAGGAGATGAAGCAAGAACAAAAAACACAAAAAATGAAAAGGAAAATAAACCACCAGTTTTGCAAGTGTGGTATGTTTTGCAACTTTAACCCAACGTCAATGAATCTTACAAGGCATGGGGCCATTGGGAAGGGAAGTGGTAGGGGTACCATATTGCGCCTTGTAGGTGAGTTTAGTGGAAAAGGCCAAGTGGAAATGTCCGTGGTTCTCAAAGGAATCAAAGTCTTCCATGTTTTAATCTTTGGGTTTTGAGTTTTTGTTTCATTTATTGAGCAGTCCCGAGGGTATGTGTCATTATGCTCAAAATGGCTGGTGGACTTATGAAATCTGTTGGCCGTGGCACGTCCGGCGACTTCACTTCTACACTACCAACGACCCAGATGCACAGATCTTGCGTGAGTTCACGGATGAAGATGGCAGCAGTACGGTAATCACCGGAGCCACACGCACGGAGCTTGGCGCAAATGGTGGCATCATCGGTTTCTTTGGAAACGGAGGCCGAAGAAGGAAAGAAACTTTTCTCTATCTTATTTTTATGTTATTACTTTTCATTCTTTCTATTTGTTTCTACCGGGGCTCCTGGCCGTACTACTAGGCGCAAGTAGCAACTAGGAACAAGAAGCTACCAGGGGCTGCTAGTTTCTCTATGTTTCTATTATGTGGTTTCTATTATTTATTTCGTCGGAGGTGCCGGTCATCCACACATTGAACTGCGGAGGGCTTTGGCACGAGGATCGTCACACGGATTGGCGCGAACCTGGCCACAAGAGGTCGTAGTGCAGTTGGAGCCTGGAGACGATTGCAGAATTATGGCCACCTGAGCGAAACTTAACCACTAGCTTTCGTGTTACTACTAGTAAGGCACTTGTTTCTACTAGCGATGCACTTGTTACTACT